GGGGGGGGAATAGTGCCCCCCCATTGGTGTCAGTGGGAGGACTAGTGCCCTATCGTTGGTGACAGTGGGGGGGGGGGGGAATAGTGCCCCATCATTGGTGTCAGTGGGAGGAGTGAAGTGGGGGGGGGGGGGGGAATTGCCCCATCATTGGTGTCAGTGGGAGGAATAGTTCCATTCATTGGTATTAGTGACACCAATGATGGGGCACTATTCCTCCCACGGACACCAATGATACTTACCTTGCTGACCCCTGCTCCAGCCTGGGCTTGCTCCCTCCCCCTCTCCCATCTATAGCCAGCATACCTGGCTGCAGCAGCACCATCAGTACGGTACAGACACTTACTGGTCAGCTGTCTTCCTTCTCCGGCCGCTCTCCTCTTCACTCGCTCCGGCAGCTCCCTCACTCGATCTTCTTTGATCTTCGCGCTGCCGATCAGCTCCTCCTCTCCAAGCTCCACCTCCGCACCAGTGATTGGCCGCCTGTGTGCCTCTCCTGAGCTATAGTTTCGGGGGCCAAACACCGGCGAGGAGGCGGCGCTGTTGAGTGATCCCAGGGGTGTGGCCAGATGACAGGGGCGGCATGTCATCCCGCCCACACATCGCGGTCCAGGGAAATATGGGCGTATCTGCATGTGGGCAGACCCACCTGGAGACGGATAGAGGAGCGGTGTCTCAGTTCCTAAGACCATCGGAAATATGTGTTTTCCAAAGGTCTTAGGCGACCCCTGTGAAAGGGTCGTTCGACCCCCAAAGGGATCGCGACCCACAGGTTGAGAACCACTTGTGTATGCTTTAGTATGCCCGTGTGAATGAGGCCTAAGAATTTTGTTCAAGAAAATTTTTTCTTCTTGCTGCTTTTAGGTTTTTTCATCACTACAGTTGAAAACAACGCCGATTTGACCCCACTATCCATTAGTAGATCAAACAAATGGTCCAAAAATTAACATTTTTATAAAACATTCTACTCCAAACTACAGACAGCTTTACTAAACTGTGAATAAAGAGTACAGTCCAGCCATATATGTTAATTCAGTCTGAATCAGCAAACTTCACACTTTTTTTTTTAACACTCAGTTTAAAGAATGTGTTGCCATGCTGTTTTCTCTCCCATTGACTTACAATTGACACCAGCGGGTGATTTGGGCGCTTCTACCTTGTCTCTTAGCAACAGAAGACTTACACTGCACCTCCACCTCAAAGGCTTGAAGGACGGCCAGATGAAGGGACCCTTCCCCCCAGCTCAAAGAAGGTTGACTCCAATTCTGTTTTTCAGTCATCCATCTAAAACCAATAGAGCTCCCCCCCCGGGACACTTATCCCTGCAACCTAATTCACACAGTTTTCCACTTCAAATATAAAAAATAGAGTAGGCCGCATCCCATGGATTACCAAGGGCCAGTCTGATTGAGGAGGATACATGGCTAGATGCTGATAATTAGACCTCAACAGTGCAAAGGTCAAAAGATCAAACGTGATTTATTCACAGCCTCATCAGCCAACATCCACAACTGTGTCATCATGTGTCTCCTAGTAAAACAACAGGAAAACCTGTGTGAATGAACAGAGATCTTCTATGAATAGCTGTGGTAACATAGTATGTAGCTTCTCCTGTTTTCTGCTGGAGGCTGAATTCCCAGCAGGAGGGTGATGAGTCTAGTCAATGCCGGAATAAAGAAAGGAGCTGGAGGTATATTTTAGACCAGGGAGCTTATAAATGTATAACTAAGACTGGGACATAGGTGTAAAAGGTTCATCGGGAGGCCCAGTAAGCACTCCGGGTCTGCCGGTTTTATAGTAATAGAGAAAAAACTTAAAGCAGGTGTGTGATCCTCGGAGATAATACACCTGTGTGTTCTTTATAGTAGTGACATCACTGAGACACAATGGTAGCGTCCCCCTGAGGCATGTCTCTCAGCGTGGATGAGATTACCTCATAACTCTTATGTCAGAAGACCCTAGAGGCCCGCCAAACTGAAAATTGCCTCAGCTATAATAGATGCCTTCCACAGTTGTAAATACATGAATCATGCACATTAAATAGAAGTTTAGGAATGGATATTTTTACATGGTTACATTGGTCCAGCTTGGACCAATGTAGGTATGTATGTGCTATACCTGGGCTATCCCTCTGGATTTGGGAAAATAATGGCAGTAGGCATTGATACTACAGTGATCACCACTAGCTTCCAGGTCCCATTCAAAGAACACTTTGCATTTCCTCAATAAATGTTAAGCATTCCCTGATTGGACAAGGTCAAAGATCGTGACATCACCACCCTGCCTCTTCACCTCATATAACCAGAGAATGCATTACATTCACTGAGAAAATGCAAAAAAGTGTCCTCTGAATGGTGGCAGTGCCAAGAGAGAGATCTCCTGTGTTCAATAAGCAGCAGGGCAGCAGCTCAGCATAGGCCACAGAAGCTAGCAGCGATCACTGTAATGTAGTACTGCAATGCAATAATGTGATCCCCAACTCAATCAATCTACATCGGTCTCTCAACCAGGGGCGGACTGACCATTTGGAAACTCGGGCACTGCCAGAGGGCACGGGGTCAGTAGGGGGCCCTATGAGATGCCCCTGGTACCTTTTTCATAGGCTTTTCTGAGTTTGGGCAAGGACACAGGGGCCCCATGATCCCCTATTACCCGGGGGGCCCAATGAGTTGTCAGTCCGCCCCTGTTCACAACCTTATTACCTTAGAGCAGTGGTCTCCAAACTGCGGTCCATGGGTCAGATGCAGCCCTTTACTTGCTCTTATCCAGCCTCTGTGGCACTATTCCTCATACTAATATGAGGTACCATTCCTTCCACTGACACCAACAGTGGGGTATCATTCCTCATTCCTCCCACTGACACCAACAATGGGGCACAATTCATGCCACTAATACAATAATGGGGTACTATTCCTCCTACTGACACCAACAATGGGACACCATTCCTCCCAACAATACCAATTATGAGACACTGTTTCTTCTCTACTGATCACAGACACGATGCAATTTTTCTACTCCCACTGACCACCAAGCCTGAGGAATTATTTATATTGACTCTGGGGCATTTTCTACCTCCATTCCACAGTCTAGCGCCCCTAGTGTCTGAAGGACAGTAAACTGGCATTAAATAATTTTAAGGTCTCAGGGAACCCCTCCTAAAACCAATCCATTAGGGGTCATTGGGAAATATGTACCTTAAATTGGTGGTAAGCAGAAAGAATGCAAGCCTTAGGCCCCTTTCACATGGGTGGACAGATCGGGTCCGCCTGTCCATTTTTCAGGTGGACCGGATTGGACTATCCATTGTTTGTTTACACCCACTTGTATCTGATCTGATAAAAACAGACAGATGGGGGATCCGTTCCAGATCGGGTCAGAGGACAGTCGGATGTAAGTGGACAGGCAGTCTGCTTAATTCCGACCACCCATAGAGAACTCACAGACCTATCATCTGCCTGCTCAGTAGGGATCAGAGGACAGATCCCCCAATGAACAGGCGGATCCGCTTGATGTAGTTGGTCTGTGTGAAAGGGGCCTTACCAAAATACCACAAAATACCACTCTTATTGTACGATGAGAAAATCAGACAAAAAAACATGTGTCCAATAATCTGATCGTTAGTACACACCTATTGAGAGCCGGTCATGACAGTCCATGTAAAATTATCCGAAGGCACAAGAGAATTTTCTCGTAGGATAACAGAACAGACGATTTTCATTTAATCAGTACAGTATTCGTCCACAGAAAAAGAAAAAAAAAAATGAGTGACAAAGACCGTGCATGCACGGAAACGAAAGAATACTTTACAATACAATACATCACATCATTGCAGGAAGTTTTATTCTGTCCAACGAGAAATTTTGTAACTCTAGCAACCCATTCGTTTTCAATAGGAGACTAGCATGCAAAAAAAAAAAAAAAAAAAAAAGACGATCATTCGTACAATATTCTCTTCATGTGTACCAGGCTTTACAGCTAACCAAAATGTTAGAAATTCTCTACAGCCCTACAGAACAGGCAGTGCACAGTCCACATGTACTTTTCTGCTTCACTGCAACAAGGAAACAGGAAACTTTATTCAAAGAAAAAGACAGAGTATACCATAGATGCAGGGACACCCCTCCAAATCATTGGATTCAGGTGTTCCAATCACCTCCATGGCCACAGGTGTATAAAATCAAGCACCTAGGCATGCAGACTGCTTCTATTTGTGAAAGAATGGGTCGTTCTCAGGAGTTCAATGAATTCAAGCGTGATACTGTAATAGGTTGCCACCTGTGCAATAAGTCCATCCATAAAAGTTCCTTGCAGAGTTAATAGCTAAAGACCTCCAAACTTCCTGTGGCCTTAAGATTAGCACAACAGTGCATAGAGAACTTCATGGAATGGGTTTCCATGGTCGAGCAGCTGCATCCAAGCCTTACGTCACCAAGTACAATACAAAGAGTTGGATGCAGTGGTGTAAAGCATGCTGCCACTGGATTCTAGAGTGTTCTCTGGAGTGCCAAATCACGCTTCTCTGTCTGGCAATCTGATGGACGTGTCTAGGTTTGGCGGTTGCCAGGAGAACGGTACTTGTCTGACTGCCTTGTGCCAAGTGTAAAGTCTGGTGGTGGAGGGGATTATGGTGTGGGGATGTTTTTCAGGGGTTGAGCTTGGCCCCTTAATTCCAATGAAGGGAACTCCTAAGCCATAAGTATACCAAGACATTTTGGACAATTTCATGTTCCCAACTTTGTGGGGACAGTTTGGGGATGGATTTCTCCTGTTCCAACATGACTGCGCACCAGTGCACACAGCAAGGTCCTTAACCACCTCCCGCCCACCATATAGTACAATGACGGGCGCAAGGTGGTTCTCTCATTCTGGGAGGACGTCATATGACGTCCTCCCATTCTCACCTGCGCATGCACAGCTCAGGGAGCGCACAGCGATCGGTGGTGTGCTATGTCCCTTGGACACAGCGGATCACCGATCCACAAAAAGAGGCAAAGATGTCGGCTCGGTCATGTGATCAGCTGTGTCCAATCACAGCTGATCACATGTAAACAGGGAAATGCCGGTTATCTGCAGTTTCTCTCCTCTCGAGCTGTCACGCTGACAGCTCGAGAGGAGAGGAGAGCCGGTAATCAGCATTCCGCGGAGGGACATGTACACTGATCATCAGGGCACTGATGATCAGTGTGCCCTGATGATCAGTATAGCCCCAGCAGTGCCACCTGTCAGTGTCCAGTGCCAGTTGTCAGTGCTCATTAGTGCCATCTGCCAGTGCCACATCAATGCCACATATGAGTGCCTACCAGTGCACATCAATGCCACATATCAGTGCCCATCTGAGCTGCCTTTCAGTGTCACCCATCAGTGCTAGTCAGTGCCACCTATCAATGCCAATCAGTGCCACCTATCAGTGCTGCCAATCAGTACCGCCTATCAGTGACAGTCAGTGCCGCCTATCAGTGTGCATCAGTGTCACCTATCAGAGCCCATCAGTGCCACCCATCAGTGTCCATCAGTGCAGCCTATTAGTGCCCATCACTACAGTCTCATTAACGCACATCAGTGAAGGAGAAAAATCACTTATTTATGAAAATTTTATAACAAAAACTAAGAAAAAAAAAAAATTAAATACCACCAAAAGAAAGCTCTGTCACAAAAAAATGATACGAATTTCATATAGGTACAGTGTTGCATGACCACGCAATTGTCATTCAAAGTGTGACAGCGCTGAAAGCTGGAAATTGGCCTGGACAGGAAGGGGGTATAAGTGCCTTGTAGGCAAGCGGTTAAAGACATGGATGAGCAAGTTTGGGGTGGAGGAACTTGACTGGCCTGCACAGAATCCTGACCTCAACCCTGGTAGAATGGAATGAACTAGAGCAGAGACTACGAGCCAGGCCTTCTCATCTGACATCAGTGCCTGACCTCACAAATGCACTTCTGGAAGAATGGTCAAACATTCCCATAGACACACTCCTAAACCTTGTGGATAGCCTTCCCAGAAGAGTTGAAGCTGTTCTATCTGCCAAATATGGGCCAACTCAATATTGAACCCTACAGACGAAGACTGGGATGCCATTAAAGTTTATGTGCGTCACAAGTACTAGCAGTCAGCACAAGGTGCCTACATTTCAGCACTGTCATTTTAGGCCCTTCTAGGCCAGGTCAAATTAATTTAACATAAAACCCAGCATGAAGGAAACATGGAAGCTGCCACTGCTGAACTTTCCTTCTGAAGAAGTTATCTGCCTGGCTGTCATGCTGACCCCAGTGTGTTAAGATTTTGAAAAAATAAACTGAAACATGTATGCAGATAAGGACTTCTGACTTTTATCCGCATACCTCTTTGAGGTCAGCGACAAAAAGATTGGAAACAAGAGGGTTAGCATGATAGCCATGCAAGTAGCATTTTCAGGAGGGCAGTTATAACATCCCAAGTGTCTCAACCTCAGGGTCTCCAGGTACCAGGAGATAAGTAATCCTCTCACCACCAGGGGGAGCTTGTTTCACCATGTATATAGTGGCCACCAGGTCATCATTCTCTACCTTGAAGGAGGGGGGGTCGGGAGTAACGAGCCCAAACACAGAAGAATCTGATAGTGTAGTACTTTAATGAAAGCCACAGGTATACAAGTAAGAATGCACTACTCACATAACAGTGGTAAGGAACTGGCAATGGAGAAATAAAATGGTCGCCGGCCGTCCACGAGGGCCGTGTGGTGTGACGTCACAGGATATAGGGCACTTCACTAATGCGTTTCGTGCACTTGCACATTTTCAAAACGTTTTCCCTTTGAAAACGTGCAAGCGTACCTGGAGACCCTGAGGTTGAGACACTTGCTTAGCTGACGCAGGCCAAGACGATCCTTGCTGTGATCCAGTACCCATAGGCGGATGACCAGGAGTTGGTTAACACTCAAATGCGCATTACCATTGCGCTTTCTGGTTAGTGCAATCTACATTCACCTCTGTGGGATGAACGTGGTCACAGAAGTCACTAATTTTCTCACCATTCTGTCTTGAGAATCTGCACCATGCGCCGCAGAATCACTTATGTTGGTTATGCTCAATCACTAGTATAGAGCATATCTTTGGACGTTTAAGACATTTCACTATCCCTCTACTAATATCATCAAGCAGGGATTATACTATTATTATCGTTCTGATTATTGCATTTTATGTCACTTGTTTTTATTGTAATAGTTTATTAGCGCTGCATGTTCTATCTATACATTTACTAAGGAGGCTTCTGGGGTTTGGCTTTCATGCTAGTCGCTCTTTGATTATTATCCAGCGCTCGTATATTTTTTTCTGTTTTACAATGAAAAAAATAATTAATAGCAATTTTTTCTTTTTTTTTAACTCTGCAAAAATATTACACCGTAATCCAAACTAACAAATTTCCACCAATATATTCATCTCTCCATCCCTATGTAACCTTCACCATTATTATAGTAACATCCACTTGTGCCTTAATAATGTGAAATATTAAACAAACTAGAGCCACCTGCTGGTCTGACTGAAAAATACACCCAAGAGAGACTTCAGACACTGACACACACTTAGCCCTGGTTCACATCTGTGTGAGTGGTGCTGCTGCGGATCCGCACGAAAATCCGTGCAGCCACACCACCCACACAGAGGAATGTGGACCCGCGGGCAGGTGCCATTAGTTCTAATGGCACATTGCCCGCACTGGAAAACACAACCGTACTGGGAACAGAGGTTTCCGTGCGAGCTGCGTTGTCAGAAGAAGTGCAGGGACTTCTTCTCTGCATATCACGGGGCACAGAAGTTCATTCAAATGAACGGGCTCTCGTGCCTGCACAAAACGCGGCCCGCACGGCCGCATATGTGAGAACCAGGGCTTACACTGTTGTAGCAAATTGTCAATTTGCCTGCATATCATCCATCTGTCTTGCCTGTAATAACCGAATTGTCCTTTTCCTGTTTCCAAAGCTGTCTGAGAGTTGAGAAAGAATCTTAAAGTTTGTTGTAACATTGAAAAATGTGTGCCAACTGTCTCAAACACTGATTTAGAACTTGTTCACACCATGTCTGTTCAGTTGCGTTAATCTGCATAGATCAACGCAGGCTAATCACAAAGGCATGTAAGCATTTCTGCACACTGCACTACATGTCGCCGCAGGACCTGGCAATGCACTGCAGTGCATACCGTTGAATGACATGTCATTTTATGACACTTCAATCAAGTTAAAAAGATTAAAAAAAATAAATGGTGTGCTACACTGTAACAAAGGATTACACCGCCCCTACACGATGTACAGCAGGCACTTGTTTTAGCTTACAGGCTGGTGTGAACAAGCTCTACAAGAATGTTTCGATAACAGGTTAAAGCACTTTGGCACAATGCTATCAAATAATCAGAAAACCAATATGTAACGCTAATTCACCCACACAAAATATATATAAAAAAACTATATCATCAAAATAAAGTCCATGAGATGTGACAACATTTATATAAAACCATGTCCATGGAAAGAAGCTGTGCCACAAAAGAGAAAAGGGATCCTCCACCGTCACCACCACTCACAGCCTCTTACCAGAGAGTATGACCACAGGTCATGCGGTCAAAAACCGCAATTATGGGGAATCAATGGAGGCAATGAATGTACAACAAATCTTCTCCACCAAAGATTTTTCCAACGCATCCAGTGTGGAAGCACAGAGATAGTCAAACAGACGCAGTAGTATGTATGTAATGAGAACAAGACCTACGCATAGTGTAGTATTTAAAAAAAAAATCTGAATTATAAGAATATTGCACTTACAGAGGAAGAAATCGGCATGTGAAATCATTTAGCGCAGGTTCATATTAGTATTATTAAATAATCATCTGTAGTGTCCAGGCACAGAGCAGTGTTGAAAGATAACAAATCTGTCCAGCTTTTAGCCATTGTCGGAAATATAACCTAAAGGTGCAAAAATAGCAGATTTTCCACCATTTATCAGGTAGAAACCGCAAAGCAGTTTGATTTCTGCATCATTCCTATATGCTTTGTGAACTTGCTTTATGTCAAAGGATCCATCACAGTAAAATGTCGGATGGGAGTTATTCTTTGACTCCTTAATCACATATTAATGCTGGGGCAGGGACTTCGCTACCTTGGATCCCAAATTTGGCCCAACAGTTAAGCCGACCATACATGGATCGAAATTTGGCCAGGAGTCCTTCCCGGCCAGCAGAAAACAATGATTACTGTTAGCAGCTAAAGCCGCTGGTAGCAATTGCATGTAGAAAAATCTGACAGGATGGTTGTACGTAAATGAATCGACTTCGGTACAATCAGCCTGCCCATGCCTGGATCGAAATTCAGTCAGTCCCTGCTGATTTGGCTGAATTCTGACCCATGTAAGCGTTACACGATTATCAGCAGGGCCGTGGATAAGGGGGTACCACCAGTCCTCCTATTTGGGGCCCAGGCCAGCGGGAGGGCCCAGGAAGCTGAGTGAATCAGATGTGGGCAGAGAGGGTGATCAGTACGGTGACGTGGCAATTCCTGGAACTGATCCCCTGCATGACACACTCTGCAGCAGCTGAAAGTTGGCTTCTTCACCTCTCCCTCCCATTTTCAGCTTCTGCATAGAGAGCCATAAATGAGATCGGTACCAGTAATTGCCCCCCTGCCGCACCCATAACCCTCCCTGTGCATCATATGTTTCCCCCTTCTTCCCAGACCCCCATGTGTGCCCCCACTCCTGCAGTGCTGCCAGGTTCCATCTTCTCCTTCTACTGGCAGCTGCAAGCACACAATAAGATTGAGGATGGAGAGTGGGGGAAGGGTCTGGTAAAGTCGCTTCCTTTCCTGAATGAATACAGTAAACTGTTTTTTGGGGGTGGGGGGGCCTGTCAGGTTGGCTGTATAGAGCCCCATGGTTTCTAACAGCAGCCCTGATCATCAGTGAGCTGAGCGAGAGGTATGATAAAGATGCAGCCTGCAGTATCTGATTTTAAAGAGGAGCAGAAAACACATGCTGCTCACTTGCTCATTCTGAGTTTGGACCTCATGCACACAAGACATTTTAAAACACACTCCTCCTCTTGACAGCAGCAATTTTGGCCGAAAAAACACCTGACGCTTGTAAAAGTGTCTAATGCTTTTACAAGCATTTAAGTGTGTTTACAGGTGTCAAGCGCTTGGGTTTTAATTAATTTCATTGGCCAGAATAATAATTTATTCTGGCCTTCCAAATTAATGCTCAAATGCTAAACACGCCTATCACTAACACGCATTTAGACACGTTTGCACACATCAAGTGTTTTTTCTGCCAAAACGCTGCTGTTCCTGGACGCACTGCCAATGGGTTTTTCTTACAGCTCCTAAAAGCCCCGTGATATCTGCGTGTTCCATACAGAGCCATTTTTTCCTGATACGGAGATGCACAGGTATTGCATGCCATCCTTGTTCCGCCATCCCA